AAGAACGGTCTAGCAGTTTTCACACATTGTAGGTACTTGTATTTTTGTACCCATTTGCCCCTTTAGCTCTTATATCCTCCCTTCTTCTCTACTCGTGAATATTCTACACATCCTTCAAAATCCACATACATTCTGAAGCCATTTCTCTTTGCCGGAGTATTTGTCAGGTAGGAAAGAATACTGGGGCGATGTCTGAAATAAGAGCTTTGTCAGATGGGAAAAGAAAGGTGAGGGGTGTTCCAGACAGAGGAACAGAGGCTGGAAATAGCATGTCATTTACAGGAAAATCCACATGATTTAGACTGCAAAAGACAGTACTGAACTGACTGGACATGAGACTGGACAAGCAGAATGAGCTAGACAAGACAAAAAGGTTTAAATTTTATTTTACTTGTTGAGAGCCGTAAGATGTTGAAGGGGTGGGAAAAATGTCAGAAATTTAACATTAGAGACAAAACAAATCCCTGTGGTAACATGGAGACCGGACTGGGAATGTCAAGATAAGCCAGAGAACCATTATATTCATCAACTCAAGAGACAAGAACATCTGAAGGGAACTAGAGAATTATGAAATAGTACTGCCACTTCTTTTTTTTCTATAATTATATTTTATTAATTTTCATAAACATTTACAGAGATTTTGGGTTTCCATTCATTCACCGCTGCACCATTCTCTCTACCCTCCTCCCAGTTTGTTCTTGTCCAAATGCCACAGTGCTTGTGTCCAAATGCCACAGTGCTTGTAGTACTGCCACTTCTCTGCCATCTGCCTTCCTGTGGTGGCTTGCATGTTACTGTGATGCTGGAAGATAAGCCACTGATTGTTGGGGAATGTTGGGGAGGAAGGGAGGGTCTCTGGCCAGGACAGATCACCTATGCTCCGGATAAGTACAAGCCTCCTAATGGCCTTTAATACAGGGTAGAGAAAGCTCTCCTGTTTGGCTGTGCCAGCTTAAGAAAGCTCGCCATCTGGGAAGACGGCTGCCGGTCTGTTGAGCTGAGAGTGGTCCTCACGAGGCTGAGGTTCTCCTAACCAATCAGAATGTCCCACGTCTGCAAGGCCACCCTATCCTGTCTTCCTGTTTGTTTGTATATAAGTGTGCTTCAGTGCCCAATAAAATGGAGCTGGACAGACTCTCTGAATGGCTCCCAGAGTGATGTGCATCTCCATCATGCTTACCCCCATTGGGATGTCACTGTTCGTTACCAGTGAACAGACAGCAACAACTGATACTCTTATCAGCCAAGTCACCAATAGGTGTCAGTGGAGCTTCCATACTAAGAAAAAGAGTCTGATGACCCACTTCCAAACATTAGCCAATCAAACTCTATGTAAATTGTTAGGTGGCAAGACTCATAATGATCCTATTAATAACAGATCTGAATCTTGTCCTATCTTGCACTATTCTCATGATCACATGATCAAGCCTGTTGTTACAGTTGCTTTGTCAATCCATCTTGTTGAGGTCTTCCTCTCTTTATCTGGCCCTCCACCTTTCCTAGAATGAGGTCTCTCCAAGGATTGGTTCTTCCTCAGAATACACCCCAAGTGAGATGAAATTTCACCATCTTTGCCCCTATGGAGCACTCCGGTTACACATCTTTCAAGACAGGTTTTGTTTGTTCTTTTGACAGTCCGTGGTATAGTCAATACTCTTGGGCCAACACCACAATTCAAAGGTCTTCTTTATTCATAGTCCAACTTTCAGAGGCATAGTACTGAAAAACTCATAGCTTGTATTGTACGCACTTTGGTTGTTTAAATGACGTCCTTGCTCTTTTGGAACTCCTTGACAGATTGTTCCAACACAACACATCCTTTATTTTTCGACTCTTGCTACCATGGGTGTTGAATTGTGGATCAACTTCAACTTTTTCTGCATCATGATATTACTTATTGGTCCACTGGTGAGGATTTTTGTTTCAGATTGAGATATAACCCATATTGAAGGCATCTTTGATCTAAAAAATATTCTCCTCTCTTTCCATAAGCAAAGTTGTGTTTTTGGCAAAATGCAGGTTGTTGCTGAGTTTTCCTCCAATCCAAATACTATAGTACAACTTTTCAAATTATTTGCTCACTGTTCAGGATAAATAGGTATAAAGGATACAATCCTGATACACATGATTCTTGATTTTAAACCATGTAGCTGTTTCTCATTTTGCTGGGAAAAGTGCTTCTTGGAACACAATTAAGTGTCCTGGGATTTGCATTATACTCAATGTTTGCCATCATTTGTTTTGATCTACACAAATACCTTTGCATCATCAATAAAATTCTGCTTTCAGTCAAGATGCATCTGACATCAGCAACAATACCCTATGTCTCAGCCTTTTCTGAAACCAGCTTGAACTTCTGGCCATTCCCCAATGTACTGTCCAGCTAGTTTTGAACAAATTTCAGTAAGATTTTGCTTGTAAGTGGTATTAATGATATTGTTTGATAATTTCAACATTCTGTTAGATCACTTTCCAACATCAGAATATGGAACTATTTCAGTCAGTTGACCAGCTTCACACAAACACACAAGCCCCTACAGCACAATAAAGAGATGAGTGGTACTCCTAGTTTGTTGCTGTGTACTGGAAAGTCAGAACTGACACATAGCTGCTCCTCTGGCAGCTTTTTAGAGGCAATTAATCACATGGGAGGAGACTGTCCATCCTTCTCCCCTAAGCAGCTAATGGCCTCGAACCACGAGCCTTCAGGATTGCAGCATAGCTTCTTGCCAGTAGGCCAGAAGTCTACAAAAGATTTGAATGTAACAATCAAGATGGTGCAGGACTGAGTAAGATTTTTATTTTGCCCCATTAGGTCATGGAGATCTGGTAGTGCTATGTGTTGGGTGTTGCCCTGCTAACCAAAAACTTAGCAGTTTGATTTCACCAGCTGTTCTGAGAAAGATGGGCAGTTACAACCTTGGAAATCTAATGGATGACTGCTATGAGTGGATCTAACTCAACAGCAGAGGATACATAAGGTGATCTCTCAATAATACCTAACAATAAAAGGCAAAACACAGGAAAAATGAGAGATAACAGCGATGTGTTTTGCTAGGAGAAGGGATGTGGGTGGCAGGGTAATGAAGGGGGCTGCCTAGAATGACTTAGGTTTCCTGGGAGGAAATACTGTAGGAGGTGCAGCTCTGGAAGTGGAAGATGAAATGAGGCTTATTAATCTGTAATGTTATGGGACACTCAAGAGATCAGCAAGTAAACCTAGAGATAAAAATGTTGGATTCCTCATTTAATTGGGGTAATAGTATGGGATTAGAGGTGGCCAATGTGGTGGCATGAAAAGAAGTCCCAGTATGGAAGTACAGTACTCAATAGCTAAGGAATAGGCCAGGGAAAAAGCCTGTGAGAGGCACAGCTAAGATTCAGAGTGTTACAAAGACAAGTGACAGGTGTAATTTTAATGAAAAGCATGCCAAATACAGCAGAGGAGTAAGACAATAACTAAGATATAATGTTGGTTTTGGTAATGAGCTCCACCAATCTTGGTGAAAATTGTGCTGTGGAGTAGATGTGCAAAAGTAGGCTAAGAAGAGTGCACGATAAGAAGTAGAAATGAGGAGGGCGGTCATTCTGTCATAAACTATGACTTGTGGACAGCAGAGACTTGCTCTTTTTGTGACTTTTGCACAAGAGGAGAGGAATGTTCAAGTAAAGACACATTCTGTTCTTCCATTTTATATTCCATAGAAAGTTACAGAAAAGATGTATGAGAGTTGTTTGGTGGCTCAAGGTCTGAGACAATGTAAGAAGTGCTTAAAATCAGTAACAATTGCAAGGGTTTTAATTACAGTTGATTGTTATGAACAGGAATTATGTTCTGTAAATCCTGAGTAAATTAATTTACTATTAGTTGGGTTGCTTCTGACTTAAAACTAACCATGGAGTTTCTGAGGCTGTGATTTGTAAAGGGAGGAGACTGCCCATCTTTTTCCCACTGAGCTGCTGGCAGATCTAAAGCTGGGGAAATAAAAGGCCTTCTGGTCAGCTGCACAACTTGCTATCAACAACTGCCAGAGCTCACTGAACACTGGATGAGTGAATGTCACATCAGTGGTGTGGTCTGTAGGGATGTACACGGCTGGCCCAAAGGCAGTGTTTTTCTGACTGTTAGAATTCACCAGTGGCTCTTCAGGAGCAAGATGGGAAATCTCTTCCCTTGCAATTTATCATCTATGAAAACCCGCTGGAAGGTAAGCTATGACTCAGTTCCTCCATCCAATGGCAATGTGCTAAGGGATATACAGATACGAGTGAGTGAAATTACAGTTGCCAAGAAAATATTAGGCTATATTCACGCCTCTGGTGGCATTTTTACCAATCAATCAACCCATCCATCCACAAACTTGTTTTGAAGCACTTTTCTTACTATATACTGGTGATTCACTATGGCCAGCAGCACTGTAATTCTTACCTACATAAATGAGGCTTATTTAACAAGTATTTTCTCTGAAAGACACAACACAGCCTACACACGTGTAGAAACGTGTGATGGTGTTTCTGCACTCTGCTCAGAAACCATTTTAAACCGTGAGGCACCAGCAAAAAGTACAAACCAGTGAAAATACAGCACTTTATAGACTAAGCTAAGAAAACTTGTTAGGACAGTTGAAAAAAGAAAGTCATCGGTCCCACGTCAACTAGAATGTGTTAATTTTTCACAGTTCTGACCATGTCCATAAGTGATCATGAAAGTGCTATGGATCTTTATCTTATCTCTTCAAAGAAATATCCTAAGTGTGTGATTCAGGTATTTTGGACACAAATTAATACATAAAACATTGTTAATGCATAATATTTATTATCGGGGCTGCTTACAGAAAAATCTTCCCCAGCCCCTAACTGTTAATAATTGTTTGTCTCTTATGACCTGCTTTTTTTAGAACTTCTATTTTAAAAAATAAAAAAACCTGGCTATATTTGAGAAGATATCAGTACCAATTTCTTTAAAAGAGGAGGATGGGAATGGGGCTTTTGTTTACCCCTTAGTAACTACGACCAAACAAGGTGTAGAACTTGGCAGGGTTCTTGCCACAGACACACTTGGCTCCAGGCTGCAGCTCACAGAGAGGCTTGAATGGGATGCAAAGGCTTTTAGCGCCCATGGAGGGAGCACCAGGTTCAAGATCTTGATCCCTATAATTAAAAAAAAAAACACAAAACAACCAAGTTAAAGAGTCCATCCATATATGCTCAGTATTTCTATTCTTCCCCATTCTAATCCAAATATTTATGTTAATGATAAAATACTAATACAATGTTAGTGATGCTTACCTGGCAGTGGTTTTCTTGATCCAATCTTCACAGTCAATTTCTCCACAGAATGGAATCTGAGCAATCTAGTAAGAAAAAGGAAAGTTACCAGTATGTACAATTCCTTCTATTCTATTAAAGGTAACTTTAGTTAAAGCAGAGTTTAATTCAGTTAATCTATAAATGCCCACTCTATTAGGCCATGTTGTGGTGTACTGTCAAGCTGGAACTGGCCGATAGCTGACTCTCCTTTTCAGAGGCAGTAAACTTCACAGGATGAGACTGTTCATCTTTCTCCTGTGGAGCAGATGGTGGATTTGAACCATGTACCTTTGTGTCGGCAGTGTAATTCATTACCACTATGAGACCTTTGCAAATTAGTTAGCAACTTTGCTAAAAAGCAGAGAAAAGTGTTTATGATCTAAAACTCATACACTTATACAGACCCTCAAGACATAAGAAAAATTTACCATACATTTAAATGTCCAAGTAACTGACTACCAAATGATGGCTGAAAAGAATAAACAATAGGTGAGTCTGGACTATGCTTACGTCCTTATTTCAATTCTAGTATAAATGCCTGCTTCCCAGAAAGGTGTCATCGAGTCTACCACAATTCATAGCAATACTCTGACTAATGATCTGAACCCTGCTCTGTCCTGTGCCATCCTCACAATCTCTGATATGCTTAAACTCATTGTTGTAGTCGTTGTTTCAATCCATCTTGGTTTTGGTTTGGGGTTTGGTGGTTTTTTTTTTCCATGCTGTATTATCTTTAATTTTATCCTCTTCATTCCTATCATCTGGAGATCATTTCACCCACTGCTCCGTTTGGCAGCCAGTCTGCATATGCATAATACATTAAACCTATGCAATCATAAAGAGCCATCAACTACCTAATTAGAAAAACTTTCATAGCCTTAAAGGTGCTCAGCTGGTACAGTCCACAGGCAGCTGTGCTGCTAACCCAGAGTGGTGCCTCTCTGGGGTTCAAATCCACCAGCAGCTCCAAGGAAGAAGGATGGGCAATCTACTCCCCCCTACTGGGATTTACAGTCTCCTGAAAACTTGCTGGACACTATGAATGAATTGGTTGACCGACTGCCAAAGGAAATATTTATTTATTATTTATTTAAGGAAATAAATAGCGATGCATTCTAACAACAGGTTTAGACATAATTTCCTTCACATATTACTCAGAAATTCAATAAATTAAGGCCTGAAAAATGATGTTTAGAGAATTAACAGAAACAGACTTTTCATTTTGTTACAGGAATCTTCACATTCTACACTTAGAACAATACTTACTGGGTGTATTTCTATCTAGTAAGAGAACAAACATAACAATCTTGGAGAAAGTGAAACCAGAGTGCTCCTTAGACATAAGCATGGTGAAACTTTGTCTCACATACTATAAGCATGTTGTTAAGATGTGGCCAGTCCTTGAAGAAGGACATCACTCTGAGAAAGACGAAAAATCAGCATAAAACAGGAAGACCCTCAAAAAGATGGAAACAGCTTGAGTGTGTTAGAAATGGTGAGGACATCACAGGAAAAGGGTAGGTTATCAGATCTGTTTTTCACAGGGTCACTGTGAGTTGTGTTCGACTTGACAACAATAACAACAATTTAACTGAAGAGGGAGCTCTGGTGGCCTAGTGGTAAGAAGTTACACTACCCAATGTACAGCACAGGGTTCAAACCCACTAGCTGCTTCTCAGGAGAAAGATAGGCAATCTCTTCCTGTGCGTGTTTATTACCTCTGAAAACTTTTTGGAGGGTCAGCTATGAGTCAGTTCCAT